GAGAAGGGCAGGAGTCAGGACAGCAGAGGAGGGTGAGGGGTTGGGGGACAGCAGGCACCAGGGGAGCTGATGGAGCAAGGGGAGGAGACATGGCGGCAGAAGGAAAAGGTAGAGGTTTTTAAGGTATTTATTAATAACTTGGGTGCCACAGTGGCACATTCAAACAAGCCACATGAACTCAGTACTGGTGCACAACACAATTCATTCTGCTCATGGGAGGAAACTCTTAGAGGGAACACTTCCCCCAGCCTCTCTGCCCCCAAGTTAGTCACACACATTGGGTTAATGTAATTGCAGGATAGTTGCATGAGGCTGGTTCGGTGGGGGCCAAACTCATCCCTCTTGGTAGGAGGATGGTGGGAAAAGTTCTTAGAGGAGGTCTCATGACACCATTTACTTCTGGTCATGTGTCCCTCTTGACCCACAAGTGTTACCTCCAGAGGTGTGGCTAACGGCGGTCAGAGGCATGATTAATGGGACAGGGGTGTGCCTAAAGAATCCCTCATTTTGGTTCAGAAAATATGGTCACCATGCTGTGGGGAGGCTGCCGGGAGAGATTCCTATGGGAGAGGGGATTCCTGTACCGGGAATGGCTCCCCCCCAGGAGAAATGGAGTCGTGGGGGTCCAGCGGCAGCTGGTGGTTCCCCAAAAAGATCGCCATTCTCAGGGCACAAGGGGATCCGGTGCACACGGCTGAGGCTGCTGCAGAACTTTTACTGGCTGGGGGCATTTGCAGCTGTGCAGCAGTCCTGCGACTCATCCCAGAGGAAGGGGAAAGCCCGAGATAGGAAGAAAGCTGCTCTGAGACCCCTGCCCATCATAGAGAAGCTTTTCCAGAAGGTGGCGATGGATTTAGAGGGGCCCCTCCGCAAGGCGACCTGTCCGGGGAAGAAATACACCCTGATCGTGGTGATTTCGCTATTCGCCACCCCGAGACCGTGGCTCTGTCCTCTGTTGAGACAGACGCACTGCTGGCTATTTTCAGTGGGGTGGGGCTCCCCGAGGAGGTCTTTACGGACCAAGGGTTCAACTTCACATCTGCCCTGCCCCAGTGCTTGTGGTAGTGTTATACCAAATAAAAGCAAGCAAGATCTTATGAGGGGGATAAGGCAAAAGACACACTTATTGTAAAGATGATAATAAAAAAATAAAGAAAAGATAGAAGCAAACAACGTTGTTTAACTACTTATTCCTGTCACTACTTAACCCTTATATATATATATATAAAATAACATTCATTCATACATCCATTCATTCAAGTTCTGTGTATAGTTCCCAGCCTGGAAGTTGCTTGTGACCGAATACTGGCCAGGTATTCTGTACACAAGTGATGGGAGTGGGGAGCGAAGTCCTGATCAGATGCGCATCTCAAGCTCCTGATGGGCTGGCAGGAGAACCTTGGACTCTGACTCCATAGTCTTTTAGTCCAGTTCTTATAGGAATTTCTTCCTATGCCAGTCTATGGAAATTGCTGCATCATGCTGATGTCTCCAGGGTGGCTGCCAGGTGCTCATCAGTGATCTCATCGGGTGGACCTCCAGTTTCTCCACTTGACACCTTTTGGTTGCACTGGCACCTGACGCCTTCTTCAGCCCTTTGTTGCTGTATTCTCAGGCTGGCACCTCTCAGAACCATTCATTCATCGTCCAAGCACTGTCTCTCTCTCTTACATACATTCCCTAATTAATGTTTCCCATACAGTATTTTGTATAATAATAAAAGTTGTAGTTACAAAAGTTTCTGGGTGGTATTGCTTAAAACATTCTCTGAGTGCTGAGTAAAGTTACAATGTTTTAAAGAGAACAGGCGTCAATTATGTAACAATGCCCTTAGTCAATTACAGGGCTTGGCTCCCATAGCAGAGTTAGTGGCTTGACAATGCATTGTTACAATGTATCTCTGCAATGTCAATTTCAAGCAGCCCCCTTGCACAAGCTTGAGCATGCCCTGGGGCACAGAGGGGGGGCTGTTTCTGGCTACATAGGATTATATTCTTAATAGTTCTAAGTTACATGACCTAATACATTATATTCTAACGGGGCAATAATAATAAATCTAAACATTTAATAATCTTAACTAATAAGAATAAGAATTAATAATAAATCTAAACACTTTAAGCTGTGGGGAACAAATTATGGGGAGTCACTTCCATTTGGGGGAATCATTTTCAATACATTAATATGTTATCCCTACAGTAGGAACATGAGGTCCAGCTCTCCTGGGCCTTGGCGTATTGGCTCCAGTCCAACAGACTGGTGGGGAGGTTCCATGGGACACTGAAGCAGATGCTGAAGACCTTTATAAACCAGCACCTGCAGGACTGGGACAAGTACCTGCCCCACCTGCTGTCTGCACACAGAGCGATGCCCCCGGGGTCCACTGGGTTTTCCCCGTTGGAGCTGTGGTGCTGATGGGGGAGGGGACCCCTGGGCTTGCTTCTGGGAGGGGGAGGCCTCCCCGGATGGAGAGTTGGGGGTGGAGGGCATCCTGGCTTTCCGGGAGAGGCTTGCTGAGCTTGTGGGCCTGGCCAGAGAGACCCTGGGCAGAGGGAAGCGGAAGGGCCCGCGCCTGCTTCACTGGGGGCCAGGGGATGGGTCTTGTTCCTGTGCGGAAGAACAAGCAGCAGGCAGCCAGGGACGGCCCCTCAAAGTCCAGCAGCCGACTGAGGTGGTGCCTGCTCCTGCAAGATGCCGCTGTGGTGGGCTCAAGCGAAGGGGAGTGCCAGTGTCATGGCCGATGCTTTATCCTGGCAGTGGGGATCTGAACTTCCCCCATGCCACGGGCAGAGTGACCCCGCTCAGCTCAGTCTCAAAGGGGGGAGAGAACTGCCATGGAGTGCCAGGGGGGTCCCTGACCCTCCACCCCGTCCACAGCCAGATGGGACTCTCAGCCAGCAGGGAGAACAGGTTTATTGGCTCATAGGGACACGGCAGCATAGACTTGATATTAACACAGGCCCCAAGAGCAGGCGGCCTTATTCCTCTTGGGAGGGGGCTCCTGGGCCCCTCACCCCCCTTTTCCTCCTCTCAGCCTCCTCTCTCATCCTAGCCTAGATGAGACTGACTCTTGTCACAGGCCTACCCCCAGCCTGGAGTCAGCCCCGCCTAGCCTTGTCTCCCTTCCGGGCCACTGTGTCTGACCCTCAGGTGTCTGGGCCCAATACGCATCTGGGGTGTGTCATCCTCAGCCTCTCTCCCCTCATGCAGAGTGCTGTGGGGGGAGAGGGGGGACTGAGGTACACTTACACACACACACCAAAGAGTGAATATAACAACACCCCCACAATCGGAAACAGTGGCCACCTCGTTCCTGAAAAGACAACCAGTGGTCTGGTAGCACTTTCTAGACTAACAAAACATGCACAGCCCACTTCTTCAGATGACCGGAGTTCCTGTTCGTGTGTGACCAGAGCATGATTTGAGCCAGAGAGCAAGGCATGGAGTAGCCAGTGATATCCACGACTAAATCTTGAACCTAGGGACGTTAGCGTATAGTCGTGTAAACAGTTAGCCAATAAGGCTGGGGTTATCAGTTAATCCTAATGCCTACCCAACCCCCACCCCTTGCTGTCTCTGGATCAGAGAAAGCAAGTGGGGGGCAGGCGGGAGCTGATAAAACTCAGCTCCCTGGGTGTAAGCCAGCTCTCGTCTCCATGGAGCCGCCTTTCCTACCTCCCACAGGGGCAGTGGGGGGGAAGGCAGGTGCTTAAAAGCCAGCTCCCCACAAGCACCAGCTTTGGGGAGCTGCCTCCCCTGTGCTGCCACCTCTGTATCAGATACAAAGGCAGCTTCAGGGGCTGCCAGCCCCACCCCAGGGGCCTATCAAGTAATGTGATGCAGTTATACAATTATTCAATTAAACCATGTCCAACATCCCTACTTGAGACCATGGATATGTGAGTAGAAGAGGGAATGTTTAAACAGACACAAACTTCTTTTTGAGTTTGTTGGACTTCTCTCTGCTGAGCACATGTAGCAGCCCCCTTACCTTGTAACTTCTAAACTGAATCCCAGGGAAGCAATTCTCTGTGTTAATCATTGTTCAGTTGCTCTGTAACACATAGCAACTAAGTAATGTTTCACCAAGTGTGTTTTATTTGGTAATGAAGATCACCCTTTTTAAGACCATGATCTGATTCCTGTGCCCTAGGAGGCAGGAGGTTCTGTGTGCCTGTGAATAAGACTGCAAAAAAGAGAAATTACAGTTTTTCAGTCACTTTCCAGAGGGAGGAATAAAGCGCTTGAGGGTACGCCACAGGAAGGAATTCCCAAAAGCACCTTCCTGGGTTCTCAAAGGGGCTTTTGCATTTAGGTGGTGGAAGCAATACCAATCCAAGGCCAGGGAATCTGTGACCTGTTAAAGTCCCTTGTGGGCCTCCACATTCTGCACTCAAAGTGCCAGAGTGGGGAACAGCTTTGCCAGCGTCTGCGAAGGCTGTACGTGGTGGAAGCATGGTTATTGTACAGCTAACACCTGTATGATGATTGAGGTCAGTGCTGGGACAGGTAGCGTCTCCTGCCCGTTACCATGTTGAAGTGAACACACATGGGTTATTTTTTTCTCCAAACAGAAGCTATGGAAGGGGACTTGGTTTTGCCCCTCAGTAGCTCTCATGTTATCTCTTTGGTCCTTTGGCAGGGACTGCTGGGCTGGTATATGGTGAAGAGTGGATTGGAAGAGAAGCCGGATTCTCATGACATTCCCCGAGTCAGTCAGTACCGCCTAGCTGCACATCTAGGCTCTGCTCTAGTTTTGTACTGTGTCAGTCTGTGGAGTGGACTCTCCCTGCTGCTCCCACAACACAAAGTAAGCAGTCCATGCATGTTGGGGCAAGAACCTGGGGGATGCATGGATAGCTGAGGTTCCTAGGCTTCTTGGAATGTGTGTTTTAATGAGGCACTTACAGGCATGGGAAGGTGCAAGGTAAAAGCTCAGCCCTCACATCTTTGCTTTCCAGGATACAGGTAAGTCAGAAGCACACGGCAAAATATTCTGCTGTATAGAGTGACTTATCTGTGGGGTTGATTTCCTTCAGTGTCCCAGACCATCCAGACTGACAGGGATACCTCACCCGTAGCTTGCTCCCAGCACTAACTTACTTGCGTGTGTGGCTAACAGAAGATAGTTCTGAGTTCTTTGGCTTGCACCCTTTTTTCATTAACGAGGAAGTAACAAAAGGCATGGGGTATCCTCAGAGTCAGAATACTTGGCTCAGGAAGCAAGTGATTGTCCTTCATCAGGGTTGGATCTAGTGATAGGGCACTGTTGAGTCATTTTCTGCAGGATTAATGATTTCACAAGTAAATAAAAGGCTAGTTGTTGTGGTGGCAAAGAACCACCTCAGTGCGGCTCTATTGAACTGCTGTTGCTGAGCCTGATGTGGACGATAAAATACAACCAAGTATGGTCTCTAATGCACCTACTGGACCAATCCCCTGACCTGTATTCTGACTGCATGACTTCACAAACAAATAGTCCTGGAGCACTTGAGACTAACAAACGTGTATACAGTGTCGGGAGCTTTCGTGGGCACAACCCACTTCTTCAGATGCATCACTCTCATTCCCTCCTCTGAGGAAGTGGGTTTTGCCCATGAAAGCTCGTGATACTATATATATCGTACCCTGCACTCCCCTAAACTGCTTCTGTTCCCTGGGCCATTTCTCTGGGACCCTTGCACCTTCTTGGCCCTTCTATCAAAACCACACGTTGGGGCGCCTCTCCAGCTCCTATGAGCCTGCCCAGCGCTGCTTGAGGTAAGGTCTGGGAGCCAGTCCTTTTCCCTCACTGGTCAGGACCCAGCTGCCCTCTGATTGGTTCCCTGGAAGTCTCTCTCTGAGTGGAGGGAGTTTGTGCAGGCTCCCTCTGGCCTGCTGTTAATCCCTCCCTTGCCTACCCCACTACAGACGCCTTCATTTAACTGTTTCTCTTCAGTCCTCCGCTGCACTTTATCATCTTCTAGCCTATTGTCTTTACTAAGAGATGTAGTATTGCCCTTAATACAACTTCCCTTTACCGGACGTCTCTGTCCTTCACACCACTGATCGTTGTGCCCCCTTGCTATAAAAAGGGAGCAATCGGTGTCTCTTCAGTCACAGGAATTTCCCCGTTGACGAGTTGTCTGCAAGATGATTATTCACAAGATGACTCGCTCTGTTTCTGCATTGGGGGAACGTTCCTCGCCTGCGGCAGCCAGCTTATCCCACCAGGCGCATCAGTTCCCAGTCTGCTAGGCCCCTGGGAAGTTCGTTTTTATGACACTTTTCCTGATTTGTATTTTACAGTTACCCGAAACCCATCAGCTCCTCCGCCTGAGACGATTTGCTCATGGGACAGCAGGTCTTATCTTCCTCACTGCTCTCTCAGGTAAGGGCCTCTCCCATTGGGAGTCTGCCTCCTTTGTACCCTCCTCCCTTCCCTGACGCTGTCTTGATAGGATGCAATGCAGCAGATCCCCAAGAAGTCTGATGTCCCATTGGGGGTTTTGCTCTTTTCATATGCATAGGCACCTTAGAATTGCCCTTGATGGTCCCAGACAGAGCCAGCGGAACACCTCCTGCAGGGCAGCCTGTGTAATGGAGCACAGAGCACTGTCTGATCACCAGTGTGTTGCCTTGGGAGAAGTAATATAAAACCAGGCTGTCCTGTCCTCAAATCCTGCTCCAAACTTGTCTAACTCTGGAGGCTACCCTGGTGTGTTGGTCTCAGCTCTCCGCTCTGGAATTGCAGGTGCCTTTGTGGCAGGACTGGATGCAGGCCTTGTGTATAACTCCTTCCCCAAGATGGGGGAGCGCTGGATCCCAGACGATCTCCTCTCCTTCTCCCCAGTGCTGGGGAACGTCTTTGAAAATCCTACCACTGTGCAGTTCAATCACAGGATATTGGTAAGTGCCACCCAGCCTCTTCTGGGGAGCTATGCCATTCTGTCATAGCTTTTCCCTCATTGGGCTCTTAAAGTCAGACAGCTCCCTCTCAGACTGTCCCACAGTGAATAGAGTGAACTTTAGAATATCATAGGCATGGTTCCGATGTCCTGGGAACTCATTTCCTTCAAAAGGAGGACACGTGGTCTCTTATTTGGCATGAATCTCCTCTTTATCTGCAAGGTACCCTGGCTTGCTGGAGGAGTGCTGGTCTTTCTTTCACCCAGAAGGGACTTGTTGGGCACAGAAGAGAGTCTGGCCTTTGTGTGCCTCAGTTTCCCCAGTCTATAAATTGGGGATAAAGATGCCAGGCTCCTTCTTAAAGTGTTCAGATTTTATTTCACGCAGGGTTCTCAGGATATCCTTAAAGAACTGGGTACTGTGAATCAGGGAGCCATTTATTTAAATGCCTTCACACAGAATGCTGTACACCTGCAAAGCTCCGTGCAAATTCTAACTCAGCTAGTTGCTTGTTCAAGATCATGTGAATGTTCCTAGCATGAGCACTGTCCTGGACTGAACAGCAATTAAGAGCACAGACAGAAGGGAAGACACAATGGTCAGGGTTGGGTCTGGTGTTACTGAACACCTACACTGATAGTATGGCATAGGTGGTGTCTGATGCTAGCTGCTAATAGGCATCTGAAGCTTAATGTTGCACCATAAAACTTCATTTTTGCTCTATGGAAAATGCCACCAAACAAGCGTGTGACAATCTGCTTCCAGCCCCCATGTTGGTCGTGGTGTCGGGTTCCTTCCCTCTGTCCCCGCCCTCCAAATAACTGCTGGTGTCTGTCCTCAGGGGGTCTCCTCAGTCACTGCCGTCACAGCACTGTATCTCCTCTCTCGGAAGATCCCCCTACCGCGCAGGACCAAGATGGCTGTGGCCTCCTTACTAGCTGTGGCGTATATGCAGGTATTGGCTCCTCTTCTCTCCTGCTAAGCTGCTGCGACACATTCAGCAGAAGAGTGTTATCTCCCCAGAGCCGACATGGGGAGCTGCAGAGTCAGTGGGCCAGGAACCTGTGGCAGTAGCTAAGCGGGGAGGTTGTACAGATCCAGTTTGTGCTCTAGGTGAGGACAGGGAGTCTGGGGTTTGACATTTTTATCTCCCCAGCTTCTCCTGGTGGGGAGGGTTGTGACTGGGAATGTGGGGATTGCTGGAAATGTATCGACAGGCACCCCTCAGGGCTGCTTTAAAACATCTGTGCTGTTCCTGCTTTTGCTGTTCTCACTCCTGGGTGCTTCTTGACAGGTGGGCCTGGGCATCAGCACCCTTCTCCTGTATGTCCCAACTCCTCTGGCTGCCACTCACCAGTCGGGCTCCCTGGCACTGCTCACCATGGCATTGTGGCTTATGAACGAACTGCGCCGGGTCCCAAAATAACTTGGCTTCAGCTGTGCTCTCCAAGGAAGTCTAGTTCTTTTCCCCACTGCACTGAGGTTGATGCTCTGGCTGGTTGTTTTTTTCTGTGGTGAGTGACTTTCTGGGATACAAAGGATCTCTGAGTGGAGCATTCTGCGAGCAGGAATTTAGACTGACCATTTGCTAGTCTGTTTACTGGGACTAATTTTTGACTGTAAGATCACGTGCACTTTTGATTGTACGCTTTGTAACATAAATTAATTTATCAAGATGCTTGTCTTTGGCTCGATCCCTGGATCATGGGATTGGGAAGTAAAGGAGTGGCTGGTGGGACTACATTCTCTGGGGGGACAGCTGTATGTGCTGTAGCATCTTAGCTCTTGTCTGCACTAAAGAGTTTTGTCTAAAGAAGTCAGGTGTATGCCCTACAACTCTCCTGTTTTGCTACTAGATAAAAACCAACTTGACAAGAGAAGTGGTTTTTGCAGCAAAGTTATAGCAACAGAATATCAGTGTAGACCAGGGGTCGGCAGCCTATGGCTCGCGCCAAATATGGGTCACTAAGGAGCCAGAGACAGCTCTTTTGAAGCTTGAGCCCAGGCCCTCTCCCCACCCCACCCCTGCTCCCTCCACAGCAGGGAACCCGCACTGGCACTACAGCCTCACAGCCCCCTGCAAGATTAGAGTGCCAGTGCTGGCTTCCTGTGGGGGCAAAGGGAGGAGGCCCCAAGGTAGCCAGAAATGGCTGTGCACTGCTGCTCCCCTCCCGTGGCTGCGGGAACAGCAGCATGCACATGCACTTCATAGAATTCTAGGGCTGGAAGAGACCGCAGGAGGTCTTCGAGTCCAGCCCCCTGCCCAAAGCAGAACCAATCCCAAGGAAATTAGTTTTTCCTAATGTCCAACCTAGACCTCCCCCACTGCATCTTGAGACCATTGCTCCTCGTTCTGCCATCCGTCACTATTGAGAACAGCCTCTGTCCATCCTCTTTGGAACCTCCCTTCAGGAAGCTGAAGGCTGCTCTCAAGTCTCCCCTCACTCTTCTCTTCTATGCGCTCCAGCTGCCTAATAATTTTGGTTGCCCTCTGCTGGACCCGCTCCAATGCGTCCACATTCTTTCTATAGTGCGGGGCCCAGAACTGGATGCAATACTCCAGATGTGACCTCACCAGTGCTGAATAAAGGACAATAATAACTTCTCTAGATCTGCTGGCAATGCTCCAATAGCAGCAGAGAAAGCCTGCAGTGTGTGGGAGCAGTGTTCAGCGTGAAAACAAGTGCCCCCCTTGCCCCTGCCTCTCATGACCAGGCTCTGCACCCCTGGCCCTCACATGCACCCCTACTGAGACCCCACAACACCAGTGTACTCCTGAACCCTTTCCCCTAGCCAGGCACCCTACCCCCAAACTGTTCCTGTCCCCTTCCCCTGGCCAGACACCCTGGCCAGCCTGCGCTTGCAACCCTCCCTCCTGACCAGACCTTGCAACCTCATCCCCATCTGCATCCCACCTCCCGCCCACATCCTGAAGCCCCTTCCCTATCCCAGTCACTGGCAGCCCTATGCTGCATACTTAACCCCTCTTTTTTGGCCCATTCCAGAGCATACAGGGGCCCACGTTCCACTAGCCATGGAACCCCAGAACAGTAAATCTGGCCTGAGTTCCTGAACCTCAGTCCCTCTTTGCACCAGGGGAGTGAGGTGTTTGTCCCACATCAGTGAGGGTGTGGCCCCCCCAACTGATTTTTTTTGGGGGGTCCCCACCCCTGCCATAAGTGAAACCAATGTTGAAATCTTTTGTGTTGAACATAATGTTTTAATTTAAAAATGAAACCTGGCCAACAAGCCCCTAATTGGGGCCCAAACCCATCTGGCTGCAGCATTATAACCTTCCTGTGTGCCCCCAGACCCCAACCCCACCCTACACCGGAACCCACTGCCCTGAATCCCAACCCCACCCTACACCGGAACCCACTGCCCTGAATCCCAACCCCGCCCTACACCGGAACCCGCTGCCCCCAATCCCCACCCCCCCCTCCACCGGAACC